CTGTCCCAGGGTCCACTACGGCCTACAACACCACCACAGCCCACACTCTTGTCTCGCACATGACACTTCAGTCTCACACTGAACACTTAACAGTCCCTGGCCTACTTCTGGCTCTTTCTCACCTCGAGCTCTTCCTGTTTCCAGAATGCCCTCCCGCTCCACCTCATTCTTCTAAGACACAGCTCAAGTGGTCCTTGCCCCAGGAAGTTTGCTTGGTCCAACCCCAAGCTGGGTGAGGCATCTGCCCAAGTGCATCTGGCTGTATCACTGTTATTTTATATCAGTGAGTCTCTCCCCCACCTGATGCACAGGTCTTCAAAAACATCAGACTGTGATAAAAAAAAATGGGCAAAGGACTCCAAAGAAGACACACAGATGGCCAATGAGTACATGAAAAGATGCTCAACTGCATTAGTCATTAAGGAAATGCAAATCCCAACCACAGTGAGACACCACTTCACCCACTAAGATGGCTATTACCCAAACTGACAACAAGCACTGGTGAGGATGTGGAGAAATGAGAAACCCTCTGGGCTTTGCTGGTGGGAAGTGAAATGATGAGACAGTTCTGGAAACCAGTTTAGGGATTCCTCAAAATCAAAGAATTGCCACAAAACCCAGTAATTCTATGACTAGGGAAAGATCAGAAAGAATTGAAAACAGGGTCTCAAAAGAGATACTTAATATACCAATATTCACTTGAGCATTATTCACAACAGCCAGAAGGGAGAGACAGTCAAGTGCCCATCAAGAGATGAATGAATAAGCAAAATGTGGTACAGCCAGACCTCATTTTATTGCATTTAGCATTACTGTGCTTTGCAGATACTGCATGTTTTACAAACTGAAGGTTTGTGACAAGTCACTGAAGCCATTTTTCCAACAGCACGTGCTCACCTCATGTCTCTGTATCACCTTTTGGTAATTCTCACAAGATTTCACACTTTTTCACAATGCTATGGCACACAATGCTGTGTTGAGGAGCAAAGATGTCGGCTTGAGGACTAAGGAGCGCCTGACCCAAGCTATGTTATTTTCAATAACCTCATATGCAAGCAAAAGCTGGACAATGAATAAGGAAGACCATAGAAGAATTGATGCTTTTGAGTTATGGTGTTGGAGGAGAGTATTGAAAGTGTCATGGGCTGCCATAAGAACCAACATATCTGTGTTGGAAGAAGTGCAGCCAGAGTGCTCCTTGGAGGCCAGGATGGCCAAACTTGTCTCTCATACTTCAGACATATTGTCAGGAGGGACCAGTTGCTGGAGAAGGATCTCATGTTTGGTAAGGTGGAGGGTCAGAGAAAAAGAGGAAAACCTCCACAAGATGGATTGGCCAAGTGGCAGCATCAATGGACTCAAGCATGGCTTGAGTAGTGAGGATGGCCCAGGATTGGGCAGTGTTTCGTTCTTCTGTGCATAAGGTCACTATGAGCCGGTACCAACTCAATGGCACCTAACAACAACAACATGGCACACTTCATAGACTACAGCGTTGTGTAAACGTAACTTTGCTATGCACTGGAAGACACAGCATTTGTACGACTCACTTTATTGCATCAGTTTATTTACTCCAGTGGCTTGGAATTGAACCCGCAATATTGCTGAGGTACGCCCGTACAGCCATACAATCAAATATCATTTAGTTATAAAGAAAAAAAATGAAGTTCTGATACATGCTATAACATGTGTGAACCTTGAAATATCATGCTAAGTGAAGGAAGCAGGCACAAAAGGATGAACATTGAATGGTTCCATTTATATGAAATACCTAGAACCAGCAAATTCACAGAGAAAAAAAGTTGATTAAAAGTTACCAGGGACTGGGATCAGGGAAGGGGAAATTATTGCTTAATAGAAACAGAGGACAGGGTGATGAAAAATGTTGGAAATAGATAGTGGTGATGATTGCACAGCATTAGAAATGTATTTTTTTAAAAAAAGAAAAAAAGAAATGTATTTAATGCCACTGCAGTGTATACTTAAAAAGTGTTAAACACATAACAACTACAGAATGACGTACATGGCAGCATCAACCTGAACTCAGTCAACAAATGAAAGAGTCAAGAACAGAATAAAATTATAAGAATAGAGGATCTGGGAGGTCAGTCTATGATCAAAACAATTACAATGTGAAAAAAGGTAAACACAGAAGAACAGAGATCCAGGTGGTGGGAAGGTCAGGTA